GTTAATGAAAATATCAAACATATAGAGAAAGAATAAAACAAACTTTGATTGTATCTTCCAAAGAGAAAGGCTTCGAGAATTGCAAGGAGAGGCCACTAAGAATGTTTTCAATTATGTCTTTGGATGCAAAAGTAGTTGCCACTCCTCTAAACCCACCAATTGTCAGAAAGGTTTAGTCAATTGTGCCAAAAACCTCTAAGATGGATGTGAAACCAATTGCAAGAAGAGTAATGGAAACCATTGTATATTACTAGCGCTCCGTTCGTTAACTAGAAGCAGCTTTAGAAGACACTCTCTTTAAAAGCAGAATTGTCTTGATGCATAATCGACACCAAGTACCAAAGAAGATAAAAATGCTTGAAATGTTGTCCGATCATAAGGCAAAGATGTGGATGGTTCAACTTATCTAATACTGCAATACATCCACATTTATACGAAAAAACAGAGACAGAAGATTCAAAGCACATAAACAAAACACTCACATCGTTATGAAGCTAATTCAAGACACAAAATATCTGAGTGTCTCCTCAAAAGCAAGCAAAATGCTACTATCACATTGGTCGGTTCCAAAGAACTATTGATACTAACAAGTTATTGCACCAAAACAGTTGAAAATAAATTTGACTATTGCCGGATCTTAGTCAAGACGAAGAAACCATTGGCCGTGACTGCTAACGAATTCGTACACAAAGAAGAAAAGAGAGCGCTGGGAGAAAAGGAAGAAATCATAATCACGTATATTGAAAGTACAAACATCTAATTCGATGTTCTTCTTCTTCGACCAAGTTGTAGAGCTAGGACTTATTGCTATCTCGTTTCTAGACTCGAAGACCAAATTTGTCATGTCGATTCCAAATTCAAAACTTGCCTATAAGGTTAGTTTATTAACTCTGACATCTTAGTTTTACAATTTTGCTCATTGCCCTTATTTTTGACTGTGTTGCCACGCATCAAGTGATTGTGAACCAATCATGCAGTCTATGATGAAGATTATATTCAAGATTCCAATAGATGTTGGCTAAGTGGACAAGATTCCATTGATTTCACTTGAAAATATGGAAGATTTAATGAAAAACAATAAAATCTTCCAAGGAAAAGAACTTCAAAATTGCTATTTGTTTAATGGGAAAAGTCCTTTGGTGAATCGAGGATTGACTGCAACATCAAACATATGGTACGCATCTATCCCTCTGTGAATTGGCTACTTTCAGCCATTTATTTGTATGATCAATTAGTTTTATTTTGAGAATCACACTCTTATTTGAGTCCATCTTGTTTCAGAAGCAGCCAAGGTGAATAGTTGCTCTTTCGTGACATAAACACATTTTGTTTCTCTTGTGTTCAACGACTACAAATTTTAGTCGTTTCTTCCTTCTGTTTGCAGTCATATAGTTTCAGGAGAGCAACATACCCATCAACAATTTATTCACTCTCTTTTGGACCATCGGAACAGCTTCCAGAAATATATTAATTGCAACGAGTTCTTCAGGCTCCATTCATGCCTTCTCTTTAAAGTTGGCGATAAATCAAAGGTGAGGTCTAAGAATTAAACTCTTACTTCCCTTACACTTATTTGAGTTTCCTAACAGTTTTCAGTGTCTTCTCAGAAGCAGAAGGTCGACTCGCTTTCTCGGATCAGTTCTTCCCGACAGTGTGAGCGATGCACTAGATCCAGCGCATCATCATGTGCTCCAAAATGTAGTTTCTTCCGGACTTAGAAGGTGAAAAACACTAGTCTTTTGGATGCTTCTAATGACTTGTTAGGCTATAAAACACAATAAGTTTACTGTTTGTTACTTGCTTGTGTTATAAAGTTATGCAGTGGTTAGGAAGGTAGACAAACTTGAAGGAACATCATCTCCAACTCAGTTTACATCTCTTAGGTAAGATTTTATGATATTCCAATCTCGAATCTCCAGTCATATGAGAAATTTTTGCGGTTGTTTTGGAACATCTTTCCTGTTTGATCATACGACAAAAGCTTGATCATCTTTCCTGTTTCTCGTCCTTTTCAAGGCAATGGTATCAATGATACATATAGTGGATATTGTGAGGAGTATACGCTAAGTATCAATAACAAGAATGAATCTTTATGGACACTAGAACGTGAATTCAATCTCTGCTCCATAACCAACATGTGATATTAACCCAATACCAAAGATATCAAAGTACATGCCAGCTTTTATTGTATATAACAATTTGTACTTTGGTTTCAACAAGAAATTGTTTTTACAGTCTAATTGTTTTTATTTTTCTGCATTCAAAGCACAGATGAGTTATACTTAAATACGCAACAACAAATTTGTATGGAAATCATAAAGATTGTGAAGAAGTATGGCGTTTCAATAACCTCTAACTAATGGGGAAAATGACGGTGATGATAATACTACGTTAATTTAGCTTGTTTAAATGTCGGATGATGAGTCTTGTACGATGTAGAAATTTGACTCTTACTGCGATATGTCTGTTTTGATTTTGACGCTTGGTCTAAACCTTGTTTGAATCTTTTTAAGCTATACAGTTTAATTATATTAGCGATTTTGAGCAATTGCTTGGAAATCAATTTCACACTAGGTGATAATACTAAAATTTAGTACCGTAGATGTTAAATTAAATAACTACTACTATTTTGTTTGTGCGAAACTAAACAGTTTATGGTTTCGAAAAAAAAAAACACAACAAATAGA